TGTGATTGCCATTATGGGCAGCACTGTTATACGACTCCTGGAATTAAAGCCCTGCATCTGTCCTGTTGCTTGTATCCTCCTCCTGTACCAGACCTTGTCATTCAAATGGGTTGTCTGTTGTAATTAAAATTATTTTAATTTAACAAGAAAATATTTATATTTTAAAAGAAGGCAACAGCTTGAAATCAGCAGGCTGATAACATAATAGCTATGTTTGTTATGTCCATCCCCATGACACATTGCATTAGCCTTTATAAACAATGATAGAAATATTATACATGATTTTGTAATATTTTAAGCAGCAGCCATTGAACGGTGCCATTTTTCCAGCGATGGCATTACAAAACATGACATACATTATTAGCATCAACCACACAATGGACATTTGCCATGAAAATAAGAATTTTGACCTTACAGTGCTTGCCGAGAGAGAGTCTTGTGGAAGAACAGTGAAGCAGCTACTATTTCAACCAAAGCTCTCAATGGCTATGTGGATTTCATGTCTTTTCTTTCTCTTACACGAGCGGATTCTTGTCTCAAAACAATAACTCGTAGCACGCAGCTTTATTTGTTAAGAAATAACATCTGGAATCTGCAAACATACTTGATTATTTTACGGTGTTTTAAAAATAGCACAACTTTTATACTTTCTTGGCAAGTCATATGCGTTTAGCACGTTTTAGGGTATAGTTTGAAATCTTGCCATCCACACAAACAACTGTGACGAGTGTTAATTCTGGGCATATGTGGCGATACTTTGCATCCAACTTTGTGGTTGTTTGTAGCGATAAAGATTTATATGGAGAATAATGTGACTTTCTGACAAAAAAAGTTCTATCCCCTCTTGGCTAAATTCCTTCATTGACTTACAGTTCTTAAGATGAGTTTACCACATGATGACATGAGTCTTTGGCACAGTCATTTTTTCTTGTGAGCTATCACGTCTGCTGCTGTCATTATCACTCTACATTCTGCCACAGCTGTTATGGCTAATCGTTTTTTGTCTGTCAATCTTCAGTGCAAAGGAACTCACCGGGCCGGATTCACTAAAGTCAAACTAATGCTTTTCTTTGATTAATGTATACCATCCTTGCCTGTGAAAATGTTGCTCGCTTACTAGATCAGATCATGCCTGCACCAACACATGTGTTTCATCACATGGTGTCTCTACTCTGCTCAGTGGTCAGTCTTTGAGATTTGGCTTATTATAGAGGATCCATCACCAATCATCTCTGAATTCATGCTGACACTGTCTTTCCTACCGAAGGGTGGCTACTTTTGTTCTCCATGGTCACTGTGTGTGTAGTAAAGTAGCCACCGCTCCAAGCTCCCTCCTGTGATGGACTACAATCTCATGTTTAGTTTACTAACTTGTATTGAGATTATAGTTCATCATGGGGATGAGATTGGAGCTGTGGCGACTTTACAACACACATAGGGAGCATGGGGAGGAAAAGTAGCCACCCTCCAGAAGGATGGAGAGTGTCAGGTTGAATTCAGAGATGATTTGAGGTTCTACAACCATGTGATACACAAATAAGATACATTTTTGTTAACAGTTAGGGTACTTGAATGCATTTTTAAGATTTGACTCCTGAGTTTAGTGTCACTTTAAGACCTGTATTAACAATTGTAAAATATGAGTATGTTCAAAGTGTTTGCACCATAGTATTTCCAATTTTAGAAATTACATTTTGTGATTGAATCTAGAATTTGTATTTGTCCTATTATTAAGATTGTAACAGTATATTGTATAGCTTCTCTCTTTAGTCAGGTCATTATGACATTTGCTTATGAATATATCACATTTGCCTCTTGCTACCTACATGAGGTGAACTCAGGAGTGTTCTCTACCACTTCTGAGTCACTTGCTACTGTGCCGTGTATAATTTGGTATAATTGGATCTACTACTATTCAGTTCTGTTCATAAGACATGCAGTTGCATGACTCAGGGGAGAGACCCTCCACACATACACAGCCCTCAAGATTTTAGTTAGTCAGAAAGTGAACAGGCAATTCTGGGCTTTCCTTTTAATATGCTTTGGAAATCTCAGGGTCACAAAAGAACTGTGTAGTGCATTACTGCACAAATGTTAATGTTTGTTTTTTTAAAGCAGCCCAAACTGCAAACAAACTGCACCACAGAGCACAGCATATTTCACTGCAGTGCATTCTGTCAGCACCTAATGTATTTGTGCAATTAGGGTGCCATTGTAAACCATGGCAGCGCACAGGTGTGAAGTCAGCCTAAGTGTTTATTTGCAAAATAAAGATTTTAAACAAGCAAAGAAAACATGCTAAAAAACAGTTTATAAACTTGCAAATATCAATTAATAATAGTTTTCCTGTAATTATAAGCATTTTTTTTTACATAACCTGATATCTTAATAGTATGAATGGTTATACTTAACAATAGAATACATGTTATACCCTTTTGTTGTAAATACATGGTTTAAACATTCAATATGTTGCATTGTGTTGGTTACTGGAAGTAGATCTGTCTTGTGACAAATAAAAGAATAGGGTTTTAGCGAAAATAAATTCAATGTAGAAATTGAAATTAGGCTGCCATTGCCAATTCATTATCAGTTTAGAATCTGGAACTTTGGAGTTTTCCATGTAAAGGTTGCAGTTTGGTAATCAGAAACAGAATCTGCCCTCCAACAGGTTGTAAGAGCCAATGGGGCTGATTAACAAAAGTTTAGTTCACTTAGTTTAGTGAATGAGGTGAAGATCTACTGACTTTCATTATCCAATCATGTGTTAGCGAAAATACGTTTTTTTTTTCCCTTGCACGTGATTGAGTATTTTTTGCAAAGTGAATTTTCATCACATTCACTAAGCTAAGGGAAAATTCTCCTACAAAATGGAAACTGCTTTACAAAGTGAACAGCCTATTTGCTTTTAGTAAATCAACCCCAAAGCATTTATTTGCACCAAACCACTCCATATGGTAACTAGAACATTGCCTGGTCAGGGCAGTAAAAAATCTGCTTTTTTAAAATCAGCTCTGATTTTTTAACTTTTGCTTTAAAGAGGATGACCAGAAGAAAAACATTTTCCATGACTAAACTTAACTTAGCTCAACTGTCTGCCCATAGACCTGTCTATGTGCCTCGACATTGCAAATAGTTCTTTTAAATGACTACTTACACAATATCGACAGGGGAAGTATACTACTTTCACTAATGAGCAAACTGCTGAATATCCAAGCATTCTTTGTTAGAGACAGATTCTGATAAAGATGCAAATTGTATTAATGTGACATGTAAAACCAATGTTGGCGATTTCCAGAGTGGTAAAACATATGAAGCATCAGTTAATAAAGTTTAATGTTTGGTATATAATTTTACTTTTTACCACATGTGCACCAATATTCTGGAAACCATCTAAATGGTTGCAATCCAGTATACAATCTAATTATTCTTCTACCATATATTCACCAATATTTTGAAGACCATCTAAAGCAGCAGTCTCAAAGTACCGGCCTGCGGACAAACTCTGGCCCGTGAGCGGGTACTAAGTGGCCAGCAGCCAGCTGACAAGTCAGGCACACGGTCACGGACGGATGCAGACCGCAGAGCTGCTCCTGTCAGCTCCAGCCGGAGCTCTGTCACTTCTGAGATCCGGCCGAATAATGGATCATTAGTAAGGTGTAGTGCAAGCCTTACTAATGATCACCACTAGATCTCCAGGAAATGAAGATGTGCCTCCTCCCTGCACGGATGAAAGCAGGTGAGGGGGCTTGGAAGGAAAGGAGGGAGGGGGGTTTTATTAATATGTGTGCTGGGGGCTTGGGAGGGAGGGGGAAAGTATAGTATGTGTGCTGGGGGCTTGGGAGGGAGGGGGAAAGTATAGTATGTGTGCTGGGGGCTTGGGAGGGAGGGGGAAAGTATAGTATGTGTGCTGGGGGCTTGGGAGGGAGGGGGAAAGTATAGTATGTGTGCTGGGGGCTTGGGAGGGAGGGGGAAAGTATAGTATGTGTGCTGGGGGCTTGGGAGGGAGGGGGAAAGTATAGTATGTGTGCTGGGGGCTTGGGAGGGAGGGGGAAAGTATAGTATGTGTGCTGGGGGCTTGGGAGGGAGGGGGAAAGTATAGTATGTGTGCTGGGGGCTTGGGAGGGAGGGGGAAAGTATAGTATGTGTGCTGGGGGCTTGGGAGGGAGGGGGAAAGTATAGTATGTGTGCTGGGGGCTTGGGAGGGAGGGGGAAAGTATAGTATGTGTGCTGGGGGCTTGGGAGGGAGGGGGAAAGTATAGTATGTGTGCTGGGGGCTTGGGAGGGAGGGGGAAAGTATAGTATGTGTGCTGGGGGCTTGGGAGGGAGGGGGGAAGTTTATGATGTCTGCTGGGGGCTTGGAAGGGGGGCAAAGTGTATTATGTGTGTGGGGGGGAGTGTTTTATTTTATTTGTGCAGGGGGGGTGTATTAGTGTGTGTGAGGGGGGGGGGTATTTTTCTGTGTGTATATTAGGCCCCATTCACACCTATATTTCAGGTACGATTAGGGATTCCTGTGTCACAAACTTGCGTTTTCCTGCAGCAGGAATCCCTAATCTGGCATTTACATGCAGCAACTGTCAACCATTCAAGTTAATGATCGGGTGACAGCCGCTGCATGTACACACCTGCATACCGCATGTAATTGTATGTCATATGATTACATGCAGTTACAAAAACAATCACTATCTCTGGATACACAATTGTGTAACCAGGGATATTGACAGATTCCTAACTGCATGCAATCCTTTCACATATGATTACATGTGGTGTGCAGGCATTTACATGCAGCAGCTGTCACCCAATCATTAATTTAATTGGGTGGGAGTTGCCGCTTGTAACATATGCAGACATTAACACTGGTACCGTATATAGTAGCGCCCCTCACAGGACTAATAAATGTGTCCAGTGGCCCCCGACTAAATTGAGTTTGAGACCCCTGACCTAAAGGGTTGAAACCCAGTATAAAATCTAACTAAACTTTTTGTTTTTTTTCCTGAAAGGATCATCCTGGCAAGGAATTGGAGGAGCAACTTCGGGCTGTGTCCAGCGTGGATGAACTTATGACACTGCTTTACCCCGAATCCTGGAAGATGTTCAAGTGTCAATTAAGGCAAGGAGGACAGTCCGGCTTTGATTCTAGAAGAGATGATAGTGTTAAATATGCAGCTGCACATTACAATTACAATGCTGATATCTGGAAAAGTAAGTGTGACAGAGGATAGTTAAAGCAGTGTCAGTACTGCCTAATAAATGTAGCGCAATAGAAATGAGTAAACACTGTTTGGGATATTTTCCTTGTTGCTCTGATGCACACAAGAGAGTAGACGCTAACCTACAGTGTAGTATTTCCACTGCCACAGCCAAGTTGTCAATCACAAGCCTAGGATCCAATAACACTGGTTTCCACCTGCTGATCAATGTCACATGAAAATAATAACTTTGAACTCACTAATCAGTATAAATAAGCACTACCTTGCCATATAAATACAATCCTTCAATAAAGCAGATAGAGAATGTTGTGCACATGGGAGTCATCAAAGAAAACTGTAGTAAGGAACAGCAGCCAATCAGAATCAAATTTCATTTACCTTTCTTAAGTAGCTCAAAAAACTGGTTGCTCTGAGTTACTGCACTTTCCTGCAGCTTTGCTTTGAACATTTCACTGAATAATCCTGCTAGTCTTCTGACTACATTGTATGCAATTATGAACAAACACTTTCTTTCCTAGGGTGACAATGTTCACTCACTTTACAGTATCTATGGAAAAGCAGTGTTGACACCCTTAGGGTAGGACATGTGCTACTGAACATCTCCTTCTCTCCTGTTCTCCATAGTATAACTCTTTTCAACACAATGTATCTGATTACAGTCAGCAGAGGCAGAAAGAACATTAAGTATTCTCAAATTCTAAATAGATCTTCCAAGCTGCATTACTGTTTGGAGCAGGAAATGAAAGCTGTTATATAGCAAACACCCCATGCTGAGATATTTTTACTCCTTACCTGTGTTTTAGGATGTATATTTTCTCTGACATGTTCTCCTGTCACCATGGAAGCCTACTTCCTGCAGCAGGAATTAGAGAGACTTTGGAAACCAAGCTCATCTATGACATGCTGGTCTGCTGTTCTCCATATATTCATGTGAAAGGCTCATGACTATACACATGCATTCCATTGTGTCATCATCCTGTGATCCTTAATATTAATGCAAATTATTTTGCAAGTATTTCAGCCTGTTGGGGGCAGACGTAGAATTAAGAAACCATGACAATAAAGGTAGAGGGCTTTTATTGTAATCTGTATGTTACTCCAGATGGCAATGCTGCTTTAAAGATTGTGTGCAGTATCAATATTTTAGGGCTGATATTTGTGCTTTTTCTAATTTGTCTTACCTTACAAAAGTGAGGTATGAAATCTAAAGGTAGCAAAACTGGAGCAGGTATGGACCCATTACTCATGACAGGTAATTAGGTTTTGTATTTCGAGGGAGACCAGAATTCTAATCTGCTTTCTACTATTAATGATACATTGGGCTGGACAAGTACTGTCCAGCCCAATCATAAAACTGTATAATACTGTATCACAGAACCTATATACATCCATAGCATGAGGCAGTAATTGATCCTAGTAAATGCTCATCATTTTGTAAGGCGATGTAGGGAAAAGCTTAGGAACAGCAGATGTTATACACTTTCTATTATGTGTTGTATGTCAAATTTTATTGAATGTATTCCTATGAAAGTCCAGACAATTGATTTAAGATTTTATGAAGGTTGTTATTTGCACGCTTACCTTTGCACCAGATACATATCTGTGTATTAAAAGATGAGCTTTTTAAAGGTACGAAAAAAAATCATAAAACTGTATAATACTGTATCACAGAACCTATATACATCCATAGCATGAGGCAGTAATTGATCCTAGTAAATGCTCATCATTTTGTAAGGCGATGTAGGGAAAAGCTTAGGAACAGCAGATGTTATACACTTTCTATTATGTGTTGTATGTCAAATTTTATTGAATGTATTCCTATGAAAGTCCAGACAATTGATTTAAGATTTTATGAAGGTTGTTATTTGCACGCTTACCTTTGCACCAGATTTAGTTTATTATACTTCCCATTTTGTTACTTTCACAAGATGTTACATTTTCATGGTGCAACCATTTAGGTCTTGGGAAAAAAGGACAGTGTATTAAAAGTATTCTTAACAAACCTGGTTATTTTTGCCCATGGAAACCTAGTTATGCCTTTCATTTCGAAATCTGCCCTAGAAAAAAGACATTAGAAAGTAGATTCAGCTAATGGGTAATACAACATTGTTCAATTAGGAGGACCATGGATCTGTATGTATGATGGGCTACAGTCATCTGCACAAAGAAGGGCTGCACTCCTGAGAAGAAATATGTATACTGAAGCTTAGTTAGCAATGTACTCAAAGATTTTTTCCATTCAGTTCTCATTTTTTTTGTTGAATTTTGAAGCTGCTAACAACTTTGTCTGCTTTGTATACCTTTTCTGAGAACTAAGTTTCAGGAGATATAAACTTAGCATTTTATCAAATCGTTTATTTACAGCATAGTACACTGCAAATTCCTGTACCCCTGGCAACCAAGGGATTAACAAGAGATCAAACTAGACACAAGCACTGCATGACGACCTTAATCCACCCAAACCTCCCTTAATCGGTGTGTGTGATTTATGCCTCTGTTGTACTTTAATCACACAGACTTTACACTTCTTCTCCTCTTGCTACAGCTTTACAGAAACTTGTATTTTCTGAATGACGCTAATTAATGTGTGAGTATTTAAAGCCACATATTAATTTTCATCTATACTAAAATATAGCTTTAAAAGACCAGTGCAAGTGTAAGAAAGTGTGCATTGTTCATAAAGAATGTTCTGCTTCATATACTTGATCTTAAAGGATTGAAGCCCAAAAAAGATATTGCTTAGATTGGGTGAAAATCTGTTACTTAAATTGGTGATGATTATAGCTATTTACTGTAATCATCATCACTCCCAATCTTATCCAACACCATCGCAACTACTGCTATATACGGTAATGTTTTAACTGGCAGCTGAGACTCTCATACCATACTATACTTGCATACTATGCATTGCTATGCTGCTATGGTAAGGAAAAGCAAAAGGCCACATGTATCACACCTCTAGAATATGCTATAACCTTAATTATCAGAAGAATAAAATACAACATCTTCCTCACCTACCATCCTTAAATTCGGCATCATGATTACTATTACATTTTTTTTTTTAATTCTGCTAGTAACTAGGATAATGTTGATAGCCTGACTATTATGTATCTGAATCCCAAATGATTTTCTTTTTTTTAGGTAGTAGGACATATTTAAGACATCTTTGAAGTTTCTTTGTTATCTGTGTTTTGTTGGGATATTTTTTGTTACTTCCTCTCCCAGGAACACAACAGGGAGTAAAAGAAAATCTCTACAAAATAAAAAGGAAATTTTCTCTTAGGAAGTGGTTATTGGAACAGCTTTTGTCATTGAAAACAGTAATATTTTGAATGCCCTATCACTTTCTCTTCTGGTGACAATGGTTACCTGGAAAAACCTGCAGTTAAAAACATGACAGAAGTTTTAAAGCTGGCCATACACTGTTAGAATTTCATTCAAAGTTGTTCATTAAAACATTTGATCTTGCCGTCAGAGTCAACTAATCTCATTTGTAAGCCCTTAAGACCAGCTACTTGAATGGAATCCCAGATGTATTAAATAGGTTTCTTTTATGCATCACTCAGCATTACCATTTGTGTGATTTTTCGTGACTGAAAATCACGTTCATGGTTAGAATTTCGTTGATTCATATAATAATCAAGGAAAAAATTCCATCCTGCACCTTTGATTTTCCTCATTACTATGGTCGAAAACAACCACTGATTAGACCCCAGTAACCACTAGAAAATTGAGCAAATGTCCCAAAAAAGAACATTTTAATATTTATTTAAAATTTATTTTGAAATTTGAAAATTTGCTTGCTGGTATATGACCAGCTTAACTCTTCTCTATTCCATCGAAATCTGTATTAAAAAAGGTTGCTTTGATAGATTTGAAGTATGAGACTATCATAGAGAGGGTATTTTGTACAGGATCTGTTCATACCACTGTATTAGATATTAGGCTGCATAGATATATATGACATTATAAAGTAACCTGAACATTCTTTTGTACCTGTTTAGGTATTGAAATCGAATGGAGAAAGACTCAATGTATGCCACGTGAAGTGTGTGTAGATGTAGGGAAGGAATTTGGTGCACCAACAAACACGTTCTTTAAACCTCCATGCGTGTCTCTGTACAGATGTGGCGGATGCTGCAACAGCGAAGGATTGCACTGCATGAACACCAGCTCCTCATATATCAGCAAAACGGTGAGTTTTAATCATAACCAGACTTTAACGTTTTCAGTAGAATAAGGTAGTAAATGCTGTAGCTGATGTTTGTATTCCAGGGACCACTCCATCTGAAGCCTTTTAATGTGCCTAATGCATTTGTATTTAATTAAGAAATTAAGAATACAGCCATCACATTACTAATACAGCTTTGAAGTTAAATGTTACTGCTGGTGCCTAAAAACCTCAGTGGTTTGGGATTTAAAATCAAGTGTATTTGAGTGAACCTTAGCTTTGGCAGTGATTTGTGGACTCACGGAGATCAAAGCAAAAGAAGATGTATTCTGTATGTTCACCGCTCCTACAAGAGCATCAGAGGCTAAATCTAGTACATTTCAAGCTTACACTATGTCATGCTGACCACTTTCACCTAATTTTTTTATAATGAACACATAATAGTTACTTATGTAAAAAAGCAGGAATTCTACCAGTTTTGGAAAAGGTTCTGTTTTTGATATTAAGCATTTTGTAGAAAATATACGGGGGAAAGCAAGAGTATCTGCAAGAAGTCAGTGCCTAGTCACATTCTGATCTAACTCGGAGAAGCAGTTTTAAACCAGCTGCTAAGGTGAATGTGTACTGTTAACCATGTGCAAATAGTTAATGGGGCTTAGTAAACTCATCTGCCGCTGGCATGACAGGTTGCTCCTGCAGATTTTCATTTTAAGCAATAATGAGAAATTTATAGTTTAAAATAAAATGCTGACCTGCTGGGTATGTTGTTTCTTCTTCTTGTCATATGTCCTGTCCCCCACTCCCAGGATTGGATGTCTTGAGGATTCTGATCTGTAGTTGATACTGCAGTTATAGAAACAGAATATTATCTAGTAAAGCCATATTTCCTATAGGTTTCAATGGGCTTGTCCACATACAGTTGATTTGATTATGGCATATTATTTTTATTCTTTATCTCTGCTCATTTGCAATGAACATTTGTAAAACTTTTTGAAAATCCATAAAATAATTGAAAATAAAATGCTGAACACGTTAACAGGCTTCTACACAAGGGTGGCTCAAAGTTCTAACTTCCATGGGGGTGGGGGGGGTAGTTTTTTGGGGCCTTGCCATCCACACAAGGGGTAAGGTGTATGTAAAGAAGAGTTAGACTCTCTGTCAAGTTTGTATTGATGTCTCTGTACCATCTGGAGAAGGTCATCCCCATATTTGCCCTGGTGACCGTTGTCAAGTCCCGGTGACCGTTGTTAACAAAACAACAACAAATAAAGTAAAAACCCTGATTTTTAGAGTTGTCACAAGAGCAAGAGGTGAGGATTGATCATCTAGTTAGGACACATGTTCCAACTACTGTCTGATATGGGATTAATCCTTAATTTGGGGAGATTTCCTATCATTTCCTGTTGGTTATCCAAGACGGGAAGTGAAGGCAAGTCTTCCTAGTGGTACAGAGCCATCTCTGAGCAATGACATGGAGCCACTACTAGAGCAAGTGCATATAGACAAAACATGGCTGTAAAAGGTCTCCTGGAGATCCCCAACACTGGAATAAAATGAAGGTAAAAACAGTATTAAAAAATAATAATGCCAATTGTTTATTTAGTAAATTAAATGTCATCCAGTTAGGATTTAGACCTTTTTTTAACTGTTGCTTTTCAGATTTTTTGATGCCCCCCCCC